CCGGCGCGAAATACCTCGCTGTAATATTAATGCTGGGTAAGTTATTTTCCAGGCTGTCATGAAAGTAACTTCAGTCTTGAAGATAATTCCGACTTCCTTATATAAGGTTCAATAACCTTGCAAGTTGTCAGCTTGTAGACTGTTAAAGCTGAACTTGTTGTACATATTACTTGAGGAAATCGTTGACGATTATGAGTTTTACTCGCTGTAACAAGACTGCTGTTCAATTTCGTTTTGAATTGTCTGCAGATCTGCGTAATGGTCACGCATGTAGATAATCGTATCGTAGTAGGTAGTCGGCTTGAAGATCCCTAATTAGGCTCTTCATCCGTTGATAAATTAATACAGCGACGTTGTGTGTTGTAAATAGCCTGTGCAATTGTCTTCGCGTAGGCTTGTAGACGGCATATGGCTTACAGTTGATAAACAACTCATGTGATGTCTTGAACGGACTGCCGAGTGGCTATATATGACGAGTGGCTAGTATATGGAGACCTTGGAGGAGACTTCCTCGGCGAACGCCGGGGACTTCGCGAAGATCTCGAAGTAACGCTTCTAGATCTTCTGGGTGAAGTAGACTTGGAGCCACTTAGCCTTCGCGACCTTCGCGAAGTATCGAGTCAGAGTCCGATCAATATATGAGCGCTTGCTTCGCGAACGACCTCTGTGTTCTACAGGGTGTGGGCTCGGCGAAGCGCTCCTTCGATCTTAAATGATACCATCGTCTTCCTCTGACGTATGGTCGTATGTCGGAGCCTCGATCTGTAAGAAGATCTATGTGAGGACTGAGGAGAACGGACTGACGATTGGCTAGTGTATGTAGACCTTGAAGAAGACATCCTTCGCGGAAACTGTGGGCTTCGAGAACGGTGATGGCTTCGCAGACGCTCTGGACTTCTCGAACGTCGAGGGCTACGCGAACGCCTCCTAGGCGTTGTAGAACCACTTAGCCTTCGCGTCTTGTGCGAATGTCTGGAGTCAGTGTCCGATCCGACATATGAGTGCTTGCTTTGCGAACGCCCGCGCATTACATGACAGGTGCATGCTAGGCTTAAGCTCCTTCTCCGCTGGCCTCTTGTAAAGGGTCAGGCTCTAGCTCCTCCTCGGATGCGGCCTGGGATACCTTATGCAAAGAGCTCACTCCGGGCAGGGATGCCCTTCGCGGAGGCGCGTCTATGGGCTCAGGGGCCCTACGCGAAGTCAAGGCGGGCTCTGGGGCCCTGTATGACTTAGTATGGGGTGGGCTCTGGGGCCCGCGGCTCTGAGGCCTCTGTAAGCCGTAACGGTCTTCCATCAGCCTCATGATTTGGTTGACCAGGTCGTCTGGGATGGTCTGCGCTGGCGTTGAGGGTGTCCTCTCTGTGATAGTGATGGGACCCTCAGTTATAATCTCCGGCGTCAGCGTAGGCATCTCTGATTGCATGTTGATCTGCGTTGAAGTGACGGTAGTCGTACTGGTCACTTCTTATGACATACATCTGGAATGATGAACGAAATGTCATCATCATATAAACATAATTCTGAATATCAGAAGCAAAGTTGTTTTTTTTTAGTGGCTTCGTGGATTTCCCTTTGACGAGGCTGTAGACCTGGGGGCTCGGAGCATACGTTGAGACGACATGGAAGTTCTAGTTTTATACTGTGATGAAGGAACGTCCTGGGAAGCAGGTCGCTTCTAGATATAGCGGACTGCGTCCCACGCTTATCCCCCGAAGGTAACTCAGGGTATATCTGACTCCGATCTATTAGCCATGACTGAAGATTGTTTCCGAGATTTATCAAAGGCAGAAATTGGTAAATTAATACATAATTTACAACGAGAAACAATAGAACATGGAGTAATGCAACTAGGGCATTTTAAATGTGGATCGGTAGCAGAGTAACGTAATTTACAACAGTGCAGATTTTTATTAACGCAAACTGCTGAGCAAACACGGCGAACCGTGAATCAAGCAGCAGAAACACGAATAATTATCAATGCATGTTGAATAATGATACTAGTTACACCTCTATTGATGAATGTAAGAGGTAACAAACTAAATATAAATAAAGGATATAGTGTGCAGGGAGACACAGGTGCTCTCACGTCTTGCTCACTGGGTGAAGAAGGAGAGAGTGAGGCACATGGGTTCAGGTGGCGCCCTCGTTCCCGCGCTTGTGGAAGGGAGGTAACTCATGGTCAGTACTAATGAGTGATTTTTTATTGAAGGGAACTTCAATTGGGAGATACAAGTGTTCCACTAGGTTCGCCAGAAGAAGAAGACAAGCAAATAAACATGAGTCAGGATAAGAAAAAATTGGATTTTTTCAACTTTGGTGTATTCAAAATTGGATACAAGTATTGCTAAACGATTGCGAGTGAGTTTTTCAAGATAACTAGGGGATGCCGACAAGGAGACCCAATATCACCTTACATTTTTATCCTATGTGCCGAAATACTACCTATTCTAATAAGAAAAAATAAGAAAATTAAAGGGATAAAGATAGGTAATATACAAAGCCTTTTAGCCCAATTTGCAGACGACACTACAGTGACCTTAGACGGATCTGAATCAAGTTTATATGCAGTTTTGAACACATTAGCTTTCTTTGCAAGATCTTCAGGGTTAAAATTTAATGCAGAAAAAAACAGACTAATATGGATAGGGTCAAAAAAAAGATCTAGGTATAAGATGTGCAAGGAATGGAATCTGGATTGGACACAATCAAATTTTAAACTTTTAGGAATAGTTTTTGATGTTGAATTAAATAACATTGTAGACCTAAATTATAATGATAAATTTGAAAAAATCTACCAAGAAATGAATATTTGGTCTCTGAGATATTTGACACCAATGGGCAAAAATGTTATTCTAAAATCCTTGCTTTTACCAAAGTTAAACCATTTATTTTCATCCATCCCGAGTCCATCTGAAGACACATTACAAAAGTTCCAAAAAAAGTGTTTAAATTTTGTTTGGCAAGGAAAAACAGACAAGGTAAAGCGAGAAATTATGTATCTTAAACCAAAGATGGAGGAATAAGTGTACCCATTGTAAGAACTACTATAATTGCTAAAAAATAATGTGGATTAAACGGTTGCTGCTCAACAGTTCAAAATGTACATCTATTGCAAATGAAATCCTAGACAATGCAAATAAATTATGGTATGCTGATGCACAATATGTGTGCAATAATATTATTCCCAGTGTCTCAAATCAATTTTGGAGTGACGTGTTAATGGCATGGTGCCACTACTTAAAAAGGTGTTACACAAATGTGCAAGAAATATCAGATATTTTCAACCAGTCTCTATGGTTTAATAATAACATTAAAATAGAGGGAAAGTCAATCTACTATGAAAATATGGCAAAAAAAGGAATAATGTTAGTATGTGACATCCTAGATCAGAATGGAAACTTCTTACATAAAGTTGATATAGAAAAAAAATATGGAATTGCAAACATAAACTTCCTCCATCTAGAAGGTATAAAGTGTACTGTCTTAGCATATTGCAGACTCAGAAAAATACCCGATACAGCTTGGACCTATCAGGTTAAATACCCAACATTACCTTTTAATATATCCTGTATCTGCGGACAAAACCAAAGGAGTAAATCCTTTTATAACATACTTATACCTCAAGTTGAAACTGGACCAACAAGCCAAAGAAAGTGGGAACACATCCTCAACAAACAATATAACAAAGAAGACTGGTCTAACATATATTTAATGGCAAATAGATGTACAGAAAGTGTACAGTTAAGATGGTTTCATTTCAAGATTACTCACAATATTTTAACGACTAAACATAAGTTACATTTGATGAATTACACAGACTCTTCAATGTGCACATTCTGTGAATCTGCTCCTGAAACAATTATTCATTTATTGTGTGAATGTCGATATACCGTGAAAGTATGGAGGGAGGTATCCGATTGGCTGGACATACTGTCTGAAGGAAATATTGATTTGTCGCACGAAAATATTATCTTTGGTTTCAAAGGTAAAAACAACAACCCACTTAACCTGGTGTTTCTAATAGTGAAATACATGCTATATAAAACAAGCCGAAATAATATAAAGCCAGATTTTAGAGTGCTTCAAAGGGAAATACTCAATTATTATAAAGCTACCAAATTTTAAGCATTTTCAAATGCAAACCCATCAAAATTTTATGCCTTCTGGTCTTCCTTCCATACACTTTTTGCTAATTATACCAACCTAGATGTCATATAAGTATAATAAAATTTGATAAGTGCATCTGAATACAAGTACTGGTATACATATTAGCCTTGGGTAAGGATAACAGATACATTATACTAAATTCACCCTGAACATACGATGATTGTTTTTGTATTGATGTATTGATTGATTGTATTGATGGTGATGTTTTTGCACAATGTTTGATGACGAGGATGTGTTGTGTATGATGCTTTTGTACTACAACAACAAATGTACTTTGGGGAAATAAAAATATTTAAAAAAAAGAAAAAAAAAGACATGGTTGAGTAAACCCACGGTAGTTAACTGTAAATATCTCATGTGGTATACACAGAGGATACTAAACGACCTTCCGTAATACCATTTTTATTAAACGAGTTAATGACTTGGTATCAAACAAGCGAAAATGAGTTTGATACTAAATCTTTCACGAGTTTAATAAAAATGGTATTTCACGGAAGCGAGTTTAGTATTCTGTTTATTACTCTCCAACATAACTTGGTAGAAACTGCCTACAGGGTGATGACTCTCAGCTTTCCACAAGTCAAGCAAGGTCTAACACCATTCTGACACAGATATCAGCATAACTCGAAACCATTATGACGTCATATGTCCAGCGGTATTACACTAGTGTAATATTGCCATACAAATATTACACTGCAGTATCTTCCACGGGCGAGTAATTTACCTACCTACAGTCCAGGGTTTGTCCAGACCTTGCCTCTCTCTACAGGGGTCCTCGTACTGGTCAAACAGTGGGTGGCTGGACAGCTCATGGTCACGAGTAATTTACCTACCTACAGTCCAGGGTTTGTCCAGACCTTGCCTCTCTCTACAGGGGTCCTCGTAGTGGTCAAACAGTGGGTGGCTGGACAGCTCATGGTCACCTGGGAGGGACACAGGAAACACATGCTCTATACATTATGTTCTCCTTAATAAATCTGCTGCTGTTTTGATCAATCAGTGATCAAGGGTAGGTAACTCTAACCACACAACAGGGGCAAGGCTTATGTAATATTATAGTAACATGAAACTCTATAGCACCACATGCATCTATCCGTCTGGTATCATCAATACTTTAATAGTGACCCACAAACATATGCTTGTTTATTTCAAAACAAAAGTGTCATGTACAAGAGAATCAGCTAATGTGACAGTTTTGTACAACACTGGCGATGTGGCTGCAATGGGGGAACCTACATGGGGACATGTTGTCAAAGTTGAAGTCTCCACAAATGCAGTCCAACTTGATGTTGTCATGTTTGGATGCTGTTTCCCTCCGGAACTCTTGTGTCCATCGTAAGACATCGTCCAGTTGCTTGTCTGTCACTTTCTGTTCTCCTGAATACAGAATTTGAAATCAGAGAACTACAGCCCCAAATGGTTTCATTATCAACAAAGTGAAGTCAACAACGTACTGTTTCAAAGGAACTTTTGTAGGTAACTTATAGGTTGTTATCTCTTAGTATGAATTTGTATCATGGGAGATAACTCTTATATATCTGTGATATATAAGATTTGAAAACAATCAGTGACTCAATGAAAGAATTTAAAAGAACCCAGTCCCTTGCTTCCCCCATTCTAATAACCATTGCATGTGTGAGGAATGTATGCTGAAATGGAATATTTTGTCAAATGACTATGAGTGAGTATTGTTTTATGCTACACAAATCTTTAACCACCCAACACAGAAGGTTGGCTGGCTTGTCGTTTAACGCTGCACTCAGCAATATTCCAGCTATGTGGCAGCAGTTTGTAAATAATCGAGTCTGGACCAGACAATCCAGAGATCAACAGCATGAGCATCGATCTACACAACTGGGATAGGATGACATGTGTCAACGAAGTCAGTGAGCCTGACTACCCGATCCCGCTACACGTAAGGAATAATAAGGAGGGCATGATGGAATATAACAGACCCAACAGACAAGACTATGGGTAATCTGCTGGATTTGCTCTATGTTTTAAGTTCCACTAAGTTTAGGGGCGGTGGGGTAGCCTAATGGTTAAAGCGTTGGCTCGTCACACCAAAGACCCGGGTTCGAATCCCCACATGGGCACAATGTGTGAAGCCCATTTCTGGTGTCCCCCGCCGTGATGTTGCTGGAATATTGCTAAAAGCGGCGTAAAACCAAACTCAGTCAGTCAGTCCACTAAGTTTAAGAGCTAATATGGCTTTGCTGGCCTGGTCAGGTAAACTCACTCTACACACACACAATGTCATGTCCTACCTTGGTACGCCTGTAGGTGTGTACAGAAGATGTAGCCGACATCCTGCTTGTGTGCACCTGTCTTGCCGAGGAGCACCTGCAGACAGTGATCAACATACAGACAATATGGACAACTCAACAACACTGGCCAGCATGATGAGTGAGTGAGTGAGTTTAGTTTTATGCCGCACTCAGCAATATTCCAGCTATATGGCGGCGGTCTGTAAATAATCAAGTCTGGACCAGACAATCCAGTGATCAACAGCATGAGCATCAATCTGCGCAATTGGGAACCCGATGACATGTATCAACCAAGTCAGCGAGCCTGACCACCGATCCCGACATTTCGACAACATAGTCATTTTGTGGTAAACACCTTTAGCTGGATCTTCAAGGGCCTATCAAGCTAAGCATGATGACTTTCACAAAGCAGGAATACTATATTGTGGTTTTGTAGTGTTTTGAAAACAATATGGCATAGACATTTCTAAACAGTCATACACATTTAGCTGGCTCAAGTGATCCAATGTGATAAGTCCCAGCAAAGTGAAGGCATGGGTTGCACCTAAAGCACAGCACTACACTGTTAGTTCCAGGCTAGTCAAAGTCCAGAGGGACAATGACTGGTTGTTCTAGTTTATTTAACCACTAGTCAGAAATGGCTAGTAGTTGGATTTGACCAGTGGTACCTACCCTTGACCTTTAGAAGCTTATACTTATGGGTGTGAACCCCAAATCTTCCTGGTTATGTCTCATGGTTGGCCTAGTGGTTAAAGTATTTGCTCATCACGCCGGAGATCCGGGTTTGATTCCCCACATGGGTACAAGCATGGTGTCCTGCCGTGATATTGCTAACAGCGGCGTAAAACTAAACTCACTCACTCATTTAGAAGTTGGTGCTATGAACAACGAAGAGAGGTCTATGGATATACAACTTCCTTAATATAAATATGAGTGACGTTTCGATGTAGCTACTAACGCCGTTATCAATGATGAGGAAGGGATTTGCTTGGTAACGGTGTTAGTAGCTACACCGAAATGTTGCTCATATTATATTAAAGAAGCTGTATATCCATACACCTCGTTGTTCATCACACCAACTTCTAAATGCCACTCAAACAAGTCACTCACTCATCCATACCCATGATAGTGAATTTGGCCGCCACCATGGATGTTCATGTACACTTCAGGCCTTACTTTAGGCTTGCTTCTGGCTCATACAACAACTGGTATGTATCTTACCTTAACCATCAACAGCCCTTTGGAATTTATCACACAAAACATGCAACTGTTCAAGAAGGGTTTAAAGTCCACGTCTAATATTTCATAACGACTCGCAAACAGAAGTCCACTGTTGAACATGAAGTAGTTGCAACTCAGGCTCCAGTGACCAGCGTCATGGATGACATATGGGAACACCTTCTGCAGTTCTGCCATCAACGGCTGCGCGTAACAACGCTGCCACACTTCCTGGAAACAGATGAAGTCAAGCTGTGGGAAGTGTGCTTCAACTCTAGCTTCAATGTCTCTACTCTCAGACACTCGCTCCTGGAGGATATGATTCCTTGATCTTAGGTTGTATCTGGATTCTGGATTCTGGTGACCATTTCTTTGAAGAAAATCTTTATAAAAATATTGGTCAATGATAATACGCTCACCAATTTGCTTTGCCCGTCTAGAAGGATCATCCAGATTGTTGATACGACTAGGGAACTCTTGGAAAAGACACACATTAATTGAAGCAATGCTGTAGCTTCCCTGTGTTGGCGCCGGCTTAGCAACGTTGGTCTTATGGACGTAAGTATATTTCCTCCTGACACCAAGCAGCAGCAGACGCAGAACGGCGCCTACCAAGGCAGTGGGGTACATGGAAACGTACAACACCAGAAACGGAATGGTCCATATTATTTTGTTGTACAGCACACGTTCTGGATGTGCTTGTTCCTTTGTGATGGGCATATACAAGGACAGCAGGCAGGACAGGCTCCACAGACATGGGTGGATCAGGGCTTCTGCTGCCAGAAAACATACTTCACATGTTACCCGGGCTGGACGCCATCCCGGGAATGTGTTCTTGTACAGCATCACAGTTGAAGGTTCTGCTTTGAAATGTGCTCTTTGATTCCTGAAACAGAATATTTTGTTTTAGTTTGACGAGAAGAGGCTGCAGCATCACCTGGAATAGTGAGAGAAATGAAACAATTCAGTTTTAACTGAGTGTACAACTTGTTTGTATGTTGATCAACCCTACATTTAATGCAGCACTCAGCAATATTCCAGCTGTATGACTGGGGCCTGTAAATAATCAAGTCTGGACCAGACAATTCTGTCACGAACATCATGATCATCAAAATAGGGAATTGGGATATGGAGAGTGAGTAAAAGAGTTGAACTTCATAACGCTTTTAGCAATATTCTAGCAATATCACACTGGGCAACACCAAATATTGGCTCCACACTTTGTACAAATGTGGAGATTTAAACACCGCTTTTATCAATATTCCAGCAATATCACAGTGGGCAACACCAGATAATGGATCCACACCTTGTACAAATGTGGAGAATTGAACACAGGCATTCCGTGTGAAGGGTGAACACTCTAACTACTGGGCTACCCCACCCACCCGGGATATGAAGAAATGCAGTAAACAGAGACTGTGAGTCTGACTACTCAAACCTGTTTGCTGCCTTTTACGACAAAGGTTGCTGAAAATCGGTTGTAACCTGGATATTGTGTGAGAGTGAATGTGGTCTGTAACATCCCATCCCTATAACAGCAGAATACACCACACATGAGGGTCCAAAACAACAGCTTGTCATAGCAATACTCCCGTCTTTTATAGGGACTAGTTCTTATTATTTACATAATCTAGGAATTATGATTTGAACTTAAGAAACATGTCCTTGTAGACCTGTGCAAGTGTAGCAACCTACCTCTTGTTTATAGCAGGAAGAAGGAAGGCTCTATTTAGCCCCTAGCTGGTGATGAGGTGGTTATAGTATACCACTGTGCCGCTAGATAGTATCCTGTTTGTTATATGGGTGACATTACTGCACCTCACACATTGCCAGGCTTGACACAGTATCATTTAACTATAAACAAACCAGCTGCCAAGCCAGGGTAAGAACTAAGCATGCATCACAAGCATTTTCTAATCGCTTGAGAATCTAAACTAATTTGCAATCCATATAGCACAATCTGTCTCACAGTCCCTGAACCACATTATTTTCCCTACAGTCTAGCCCTCCCTGCGATGCTAAAGCCCTAAATGAAGTAAGTCTAGATTTCCTCAGGTTCAGAATCTCTGGTCACGCTATGGCGCCTTTTCAATTTTAATGGGTTTATTTGTTACAATTAAAACTATATATATTTAGAGAATAAGCGTTAGTCTATATATAGCTGTGAGCGGCACTGGCTGTAAACAGGACAGAGTTATGGTGGGACCAGCACAGGCTGACGTATTAGGTTAAGTCACATACTTTCTATGACTTTCACTGTAATATGTTTTTAAGAAAATGGCATTAATTTCAATGTCAGCAATATAACCATGACCAACCAAATGACAGGTTTATGATGTAAGCAGATCCAACACAATCCTTCCTTTCAACATAATCATGGTTCTGTAAGACAATTATTTCTTGTTACTGTGTGTTTACCGAGGCTAGATGATAATTGTGACAATGAGACCACTTCACTGTACCTGAGTTGAGGCGAGTGCTACCTGGTGAAGATTACTTCCTGTCCTGCTACTGTGTCGGCTGTGATCAGTATTTAGGTCCGGTATTCACATACTCGAGCCTCGATCAAAGGTTGAGTGTTATCTTCATGATTTGTTGACTCAAAGAATGTCTCAGTCTGTGCCCAATACTAGTATGATGTGTATTTTTAGCTTTTAAAGATACAAATATTATTTGTAAATTGTTACTTAATAGTTTTGCATTTCAATTGAGAACAAGTCTACATGGTTTTTACTTAGCTGGATCAAGGCATGTGGGCGTAAGGAAATAAGAGCAAAATAAATGTTTTCAATAACGGATGAAGTATTTCTAATTATTCTATACATCAGCATCTCTTCTGATCTACACTTGACCAAGTCTGTTTAGTTAGTAATAGTTATCAGTTGCTACAACTAGGAGAGTCAATGATCAAGGGAGATAACCATTCTCCTAGACTAAGGCTTAGTCTCTGAATATATATAATTTTGATAGTAACAAACAAGCCCATTTATATTGAAAAGGAGCCCTAGGGAGACCAGAGATTCAGAGACTAAGAACATCTGCATTGGGGCTACACGTGCTGGGGTCATTACAAACATAACAAATAAACCCATTAAAATTGAAAAGGCGCCATAGCGTGACCAGAGATTCTGAACCTGAGGAAATCTAGACTTGCTTTATTTAGGGCTTTAGCACTGCAGAGAGGGCTTGGCAGTAGGGAAATTAATGTGGTTCAGGGACTATGAGACAGACTACCATTCTCCCTACTGGAACAAGATTGCACAACCATTTGAAGCATCATACAATCTCTCTCATTGCCTTTGCTGTGTGGGCAAAGGGAGTAAGGGTATAGTGCGGTGTACGGCCGAGGGTAGTCTAACAGCATAGTCTCTCAAATGAACATATTTTACAGAAGATATAATTGTTTAAGTTAAAATTATAAATACAATAAAAAGGAGCCCACAGACATTCTTCATTTTTAGATTGCCACATTTTCTAGACTTGCGTGGGTTTTCTTGGATATATACTGAACAGCAAAAGAAACGCAACTCATGCTTTTTGTCATTTTTTAAAAATAGATGACATAAACATGAATGCTTACTTATATGAGATTTCATTTTTTCGAAACTTGCGTTTCTTTTGCTGTTCAGTATATTTGCTTCAGGGTCTGTATGAGAGACTAGGCCGAGAGGTGAAGAACAGGGCTAGTCTAATGTTCATATATGCCTTATATGCTCAAAAAGACAATGAACATTACATGCTTTTCTTTAGAACAAGCTTCTCAAGGGGACATTTCTGTGGGACTCTTTGAGGATTATAGACTATTTATGTGTTTGTTGTGGTTTCACTCCACACTTAGCAATATTCCAGTTATATGACAGTGGTCTATAAATAATCAAATCTGGACCAGACAATCCGGTGATAGAAATGATTAATATCAGTCTATGAATTTGGGATACAATGACATACACGATCCACATTCATCAGCTGTTACTACCAGCATTGGTTGCTTAACGTCAGTCATTGTACAATATACACAATGCTCATCTTGATTCAGAAGATAACATTACCTGATCTACAAGATCTGTCTGTACTTACATCCAACACCCTCAGTCCCATCAAGGACTGTCACAACACAACTGAATATCAGGACATTCTGAGTGTTTGAACATCTTTTTGTTGTTGTTTAACACCACACTCAGCTAACGGTGTTAGCAGCTACATCGAAACATCTCTTACGTCAATAATAAAGAAGTTGTATATCTATAGAACTCTCCCCATTGTTCATCACACCAACTTCTAAATATTCATGCACATTCAATTCTAATGATGGTGGATAATGAACTGAAGTCTGAACGAATATGCGAGTGAATTATAACAGCCCTAGTCTTAATCAAAGGAGCCAAGTGATGTTCTATTATAATGTCCAATAGAGACATGTCTCATCAAAAAGCAAATAAACAAAAAATAATTAGAAATACTGTTGAAAGTAAGTAACAGATGATGTTTCATGCATTCAGATCAAGGGAGATGAGGACAAAAATATCAGCAGTCATTTTGTATATCATTTTATATATCATTTTATATATCATTTTGTATAACCAACTCATGTTGGAATTGGATAACTCCAATGTTAAGTAACTTGTGCCTCTAATAAAACTAAGTGTATCAGATGGTCCTCTAATAAAACTAAATGTATCAGATGGTCCTCTAATAAAACTAAGTGTATCAGATGGTCCTCTAATAAAACTAAGGGTATCAGATGGTCCTCTAATAAAACTGAATGTATCAGATGGTCCTCTAATAAAACTAAATGTATCAGATGGTCCTCTAATAAAACTAAATGTGTATCAGATGGTAAAATGTATCAGATGGTCCTCTAATAAAACTAAGTGTATCAGATGGTCCTCTAATAAAACTAAGTGTATCAGATGGTCCCTCTAATAAAACTAAATGTATCAGATGGTCCTCTATAAAACTAAATGTATCAGATGGTCTAATAAAACAGATGGTCCTCTAAATAAATATCAGATGGTCCTCTAATAAAACTAAATATATCAGATGTATCAGTCCTCTAATAAAACTAAATGTATCAGATGGTCAAGTGTATCAGATGGTCCTCTAATAAAACTAAATGTATCAGATGGTCCTCTAATAAAACTAAATGTATCAGATGGTCCTCTAATAAAACTAAATGTATCAGATGGTCCTCTAATAAAACTAAATGTATCAGATGGTCCTCTAATAAAACTAAATGTATCATGGTCCCCTAATAAAACTAGATGGTCCTCTAATAAAACTAAATGTATCAGATGGTCCTCTAATAAAACTAAATGTATCAGATGGTCCTCTAATAAAACTAAATGTATGTAAATAAACTAAATGCTGTATCTTTGTTGATTGTATGGCATTCTACTCAAAGGTACTAATGTAAAAACTAAATGTATCAGATGGTCCTCTAATAAAACTAAATGTATCAGATGGTCCTCTAATAAAACTAAATGTATCAGATGGTCCTCTAATAAAACTAAATGTATCAGATGGTCCTCTAATAAAACTAAATGTATCAGATGGTCCTCTAATAAAACTAAATGTATCAGATGGTCAAATACTGTAACTTTGTTGATTGTATGGCATTCTACTCAAAGGTACTAATGTAAAAACTAAATGTATCAGATGGTCATCTAATAAAACTAAATGTATCAGATGGTCCTCTAATAAAACTAAATGTATCAGATGGTCCTCTAATAAAACTAAATGTATCAGATGGTCCTCTAATAAAACTAAATGTATCAGATGGTCCTCTAATAAAACTAAATGTATCAGATGGTCCTCTAATAAAACTAAATGTATCAGATGGTCCTCTAATAAAACTAAATGTATCAGATGGTCCTCTAATAAAACTAAATGTATCAGATGGTCAAATACTGTGACTTTGTTGATTGTATGGCATTCTACTCAAAGGTACTAATGTACCTTGTTAGGACTTGATTATCAACAAAATCAGGATACAGCTGGAATATTGCTGTGTGAACTATTTAAAACAAACAATCAAACCATTATAATCAATGATTGTTGGGCAATTACTCCTCAGGGCTCGATTTAAGAGATGTTAACCTACTTGCACCAGGTGCACCCTAAGATAAAAACCTAGTTGCACCAGCCAAATTCCAGTTGCACTGCTTTTATTGCAACATGTAATAAAAGAAATATGCTATTGAATCATTTAGATGTTTTATTCCGAAGTTTACCCACTTGTCGTTACACAGATTCATCACTGCTCCATGCCTGCTCTGTCTGTGTTCTCTTTCCAGCTGCAGCAATCCTCCTGTTCTTCTTCAGTGAGCCATGGTGCAATGGCAGCATCTGGAGTTGTAATCATGTGTGGCTGGACCATTCACTGATACAGAAAGCAGATCTGTCAGAGTGTCACTCCTCAATGAACCTCGCCAGTCAGATTTCACTCTCTTCATGAGGAAAAGCCACTCTTTCACATACATTGCCGAGCTCACTGTCAGTGAAAGGATTATTCGAACCAGGGCTAAGATGTCCTTGTTTTCACCTTTCAGATCATTAGTTGTCAAAACCCTTTCCCATACCTGTACAAAGTGAAGATTTTCTTCAAAACTGAGCATCCTCACAATCTGTTTCTTCACAGTAAGCCATTCCTGCTGCTGCTTGGGAACATACCCTTTAGCAGTCAAGGGCCTGTCAAAGTGCTGAGCCAACAGCTGGATCTCTGTGTCCCCATAAGAGTTGAGTGCAGCTGGATCCTTGGGCCAGTTCTTGGGGTTGAGACACGTGGGATGCTCCACACACATCATCTGTCACATCATATCTTGATGCCAAATTTGACTTCATTTTCTGTATGATCATTTCTGCCCGATTCAATCGTGATCTTCTTTTTCAGATTTTTTCACAGGTTGCTTTCCTCTTTTTCTTTGGTAGTCCCCTTTCAGGTACACTAAGTGTCATCCCATGGAACCTGTACTCTGGGTTGTCACCTTCAGCCACTTCAATTCCTTTCATCATGACTTCAGTAAGTCTCTCTCTGTCTGTCAGCTTTTCAATATGTCCAACTGCCTTTTCTACATTCTCATGTACAGAGTGCAAGCCAGATTTGTCACATTTAAAAGATTTGCTCAGTTTTGACATCACTCCCAGAAAACTGGTGAGAAAATTAAGAATCATGACAAACTTCAGAGACTGGACAAGCGAAGTATGCATCTTGATTTTTCTTGATTGTCTTGATTGCCAGTTCTTGATTCATTCTGAAGATGAACAGCCAGTGCTTCATCACGACTGAGAGACAGCCTTCACAGCATGCTCTCGTGATGAGGGAGCCATCTCACACCAAGTATTCTAACTGGCCTGAAGGTTTACATTCAGTGCCTCAGCAGCTGCTTTTAGTCCTTGCCACCTCAGTGGCGAATACTTGTAGAGAACTTGTACAAGTTCACAAGAGTTTAAGATCAAAGTCTTCCAAATGGGATATTTGCTTTGTGACATCTTTAACTGCAAGTTCCAGTCGATTGGGCACAGCAGTGGATTGCAATCACATGAGGGGCTAATGTTTGTATTCTCTTTGCCACACCTGACTTACACCCCATCATCACAGCTGCCCCATCAAAACACAAACCAACTAGACCACTTTTCCATTCATCCTCTGATAAATCAAGTTTCTCATCTAACATTTTCAAGATTGCCTCCTTGATGTGAAGAGCATCACCTCTTTCCACATGTGATGCACACACACAAACACAGTTTTGGGTTTGTCCAAATTTAATGTATCTCACATACATGATTTCTTGTTCCAAAACACTGCAGTCTGTTGACCCATCACATAATACTGAAAAATATTCAGCTGTCGAAGTTCTCCTACAATTTCCTGGCGAAAAGATTCACTGATTAGGCCAATAAATTCTCTTTGCTTTCTTGTCATTTTGCATATGTCTGGCCTGATTTAATTCCAAGTATTTCTAAAAGTTCAAGCATTTTGGAGAAATCTGTAAATGGTTTTTCATTTTTTGCTATCCAGTATGCTACTATGAATAAAATCTTCATGGTGTCAACTTGATTTTCCTGCATTTTAAGAACTGTCTTTTCAATGGCAAAACTGATTTATTTTTGCACAGTTGTTGCTAGTTCATGGGCCTCAGATCGGAGGTGAACATCACTAGTTTAGTGGATTTCTATCACACTTAGTCTTATAGACTTGCACCCACTCCTAAAAGAATTACTTCTTCCACTTTTATCATACTTTTGACATGTGGAATCACAAGACATGTGGCTAGAATGCAGTTTACCGGGCGCAGCCCGGCGTGCGCAGAAAGGTCGCTAATGAGCAATCAGTGCGCATCGCGCATCGCGCTATAGCGCGGCTGCTCTGTAGCTCTACTGCACTGTCTTACTATAACGCAGTCGTTCATCGATCCTTAGGGTTAGGCACCCCTTTACGATCCTTAGGGTTAGGGGTTAGGGTTTAGGGTTAGGGTTGGGCACCCCTTTACGATCCTTAGGGTTAGGGTTGGGCACCCCTTTACGATCCTTAGGGTTAGGGTTTAGGGTTAGGGTTGGGCACCCCTTTACGATCCTTAGGGTTAGGGTTTAGGGTTAGGGTTGGGCACCCCTTTACGATCCTTAGGGTTAGAGTTTAGGGTTAGGGTTGGGCACCCCTTAACTTACCTCTGAACAGAGTAAATTCCATTGCATCCAATTGGTTTTGAAACACGTTTCGTCCCACCAGGACTCGTCAGTGCAGCTTGGTTTCCAAAAGGAAACTGCAGACGTGTTTCGCTTGTTGTCTGTTTTTCTTGGACGAAACACGTCGGGAAGCTTTACATCTTCTCAGCCAAAGGCTGAGACTGAGCACTGCGCATGCGCGCGAAATGAAAACAAACCATTGCGCATGCGCAGGGCTAGCAGTGCTACTGTGGTAATGACCCGTTAAACGAGCACATGCTGGCTGTGATCGCACCCGTGGTCCCGAGGTACCGTGTCGGCTAATTAGCGTAATTAGCACCCACCAGGAATCCCCCTAATCCTGCTGAGCGCGTTCGAGCCCCAGCAGCGCTGATTAAATCTGAAAAAGTGCGCCCGGTAAAGTGCAGTACCATACAATCCAGTGATCCACAGCATGAGCATCGATCTACTCAACTGGGATACGATGACATATCAACCAAGTCAGCGAGCCTGACAACCCGATCCTGTTAGTCGCCTTTTACGACAAGCATGGGTTGCTGAAAACCAATTCTAACCCAGATCTTCATGGGTTTTGAGTATACAGACAATTTGTAATAGTCTACACAGATGAAACATGTATGTTCAACTTCCACATGTTCTCCCTCGATTTACGGACTGCGATATTTCTGAAAGACATTGTTGGTGTCAAGAGTAGCAGTGTTGGACCAATCATGTTTTTCTAAATGTGTTGTTTTGGGGGGAGTCATGGTTTACTTTGGACGTACTGAGCAGACGCAACAGAGTGTGGCGTAGATCGAATGAGTATTTTCATGCCGTTCATGTAAGACAGAACGATTGTTTTGGGGGTGGCTCATTAATAAAGTGGGGTGGGCTCACTGTGGTAGGCAGAACACCTTTACATGTTATTCACAGATGCGTCGCTGGTACTAGCATAGGATATTTTTATAACGCACATATCCACGCAACTAGTGCATGCTCAAGGAGCTGGTATTTTTTTCCCTCGATCATTGGATGTCAATCTCAACGCCACATCGTATTATCAATCTCAACTCCCTGGGGAGTATGCAACTCTCGCACCGGGTTATTGTGGCTTTCTCATCCTAATGAGGTACACATTCACAGCTGGGTGGACTGGGACACATAGTAACAGTACTTTGTCCATGTTCACTGCACGTTGCTGTACCCGCAACTAGGTGTTTGCATGTATTCATGTGGCCACCATTTGGTCATATACCAACGGATTCGTGGGTTCTTTTAAGTGCACAGGGTTGTGTACTGTACACTAGGGGTTGTGACAACACTGAAAGAGTCTGCACACAAAGTTGACTCCAAGGTTTTTACAGCCGGTCACAGGTGGGCTCGATCCCGAGACCTCAACCTCGCTGGATCACTAACCTGGCCTTAGCCAGCTTGCCCACCGCCGCTCTCGCCCGGCTCGCCCCGTGCCCCTGGCTTGCCCACTCGCCCCCAGCTCACCCACCCGCCCCCCAGCTTGCTCCCTGAAGCTTCCCCGGCCCCTCCACCGCCACTCCCGGTACTATTGTGACATCCTGGAGGCACATGTGGAGCCATTTGGAGCCAACATGAACATCGTTTTGTGCTTCAGGATGGCAACATAGGAGCACACAGGGCTCATATTATTATTGAGTACCTCTAACAGAACAACACAACCAACTTACCATCACCAGCACATTATCAGTGCATGTCTGGGATACCCTTGACATCACTGTCAACAAACCTGGCACTGCATTTGAGGAAGTTTTAGGATTGATCCAAGTTTACACTGGAATACACTTGTATAAGGCTTGTAGCAGTGAACAGTGTCACTGAACCTATCAGTTATGCTTTGATATAGGCCCGTCAGTGGCTGTCTCTAACAGTACCAAATTGGAGCCCAATTGTTTAAAATGTGTAAAGTCAAATAAGGATTTTAATGAAACGAAATAAGAGTTCGATAGCCAAAAAAGGATGAAAACATGTCAAATAAGGACATATTGTTGTACCATTAGAATTATTTCATGGGTTCTAGTAAGTATGGTGTAACTTTGCGTTTCAATCAGTAAACAGACATGAACTTTAATTTTTGTTGAATTACTTGTCAAAGACTTTAACTACTTAACAAATCTTGGTTTATTTTGAGAATACGTGCAGATTTACAAGATGTTATAGAATATGACACTCCATGATGCAGTGGACACTAGAGCGCATTGGTCAGTCGTCTAACAAAATCTTTGGTCATATATGTTCAACAACTAATGCAAATCTCAGTCAGATGTAATTGTTACATTGTTAAACTATTTCGGTCATTAACTGTATAAATGTCAGCAGTTGTGACACCTTATCACTGAATATCCCCTTCTTTTTTATATCCCGTCAGCAAAAGATTTTGGACAAATATGCAATGCAAGTAATTAAGTTTCCATCCTACATGCAGTGTATGAAATAAGCCAAAAATCCAGCCAGACATCGGGACTGGTAACTTCAAAATGTTACCAGCCCAAAATAGATTTAACCAGACCAGTCATACCAAAAGATGTTAAAATATGGTACTTGTTGGTCCCTGCCTGGCTCTCGGCATTAATGGGTCCAACAAGGACTGGTCGGCTCGGAGTCAGTATAATGTGTCTCAGTGGGGTATTCATGCTTCACTGCGGCATGGTATCTCAGTGGGCTAGCACTATAAAACAAGCTTAAGTCTGGGCTAGTACAAGCAGCCGCTGACATGCATTGCGTAATGCGTCGTCGTCCAGATGAGGCGAAATATTCTCAAGCACGACGTTAAACCTAATTTCACCTCACCTCACCTCACCAGGCCAAATATGGTAAAATTTACTCAGATGTATGGAAGATCAAAATTTTTACCAGACCATCGGGCTGGCTAGCTGTAAATTTAGACCGTCCGTCAGAAATCTAGACCGTCTCGGGTGGTCGGACGGGCCTTATTTCATATACTGCTAGATAGGTATTGAAGGGTCAGATAAAAGCTCTGTGTTGTCCCTAAATGAAATAACTCTCTTTGTCAATTTCTATTAAGTTTCCTGAAAAAGAATATTGCCACACATAATGTGATTTGTGTAGTAAGTGCTTTTGACTTTGCAACCAAACACCGTTTTATGCAAAACCATGTTCTATGGATACCCTGAAGCAACTTGCGACAAGTTTTAGTGCAATGAGTCGCAATCAAGCGTTTGGTCGTTAGTACCTACCAAACGTCACACTCATTGCAATAAAGAAGTTGACTATTCATAGAACTTAGTTTTCCTTCATCTTCACAACTTCTAAAATGCCTCTCAAAGAAACCAAGAGTTTTACATCAGTTAATTAATGCAAAATGCCTAATGTCAAAACTAATACTAAATTGTTCTGAAGTAGAAAATATACTTTAAAATTAATGTTGACTAAAGGAATTTATTACTACACCATGAACATTGACCAGTATTTGAATATTGTTTATCATTAAAATGTGGCCAGTTTATTGGAAGAGTAACACTTAATATTCATAATATTCACACGTCTCAGTGAACAATATCACAGGTCGAGGGGTTAGAGCCAGAACCACTTATAACCACACAGGCACATTTCGAGAAACAGCACTCAAATGTTTGGACAGTTATAAAAAAAAAATTAATAAATTCTTTTTTACTGTTTTGTGACTAGGTGACAGAGTATGTTGGTGCATTCATGTTACTATACAACCATAAATATAATCAGCCTAATTAAAAAGGTATGACGAAAATAAACTTTAGCTTGTTCTGGCGTAAATGTAAAACACTCTGGGCTCTGTAAACATGAGAGCGAGAACCAGTTAAATTACAAACACAGTGTATGGCAGTTAAGAATATGTTGAGAATATGTCTGTCCCCTCGAGTCAAGAATCTGGTTATCTTTAAACAGGGGATTGTGGCATAGTTTGCGGCTCACGATTTCCCTGTGTCGCAGTTTCCACTAACTCGGGGGAGCATTATCTTTGCCCCAACAATTGTATCAATGCGGAAGCCAACTAAAAGCAATGACACCTGATCTCAAGATCACCCATATCATCACAGCCAACCACTGTTTCCTCTAAGCCCTGTAACCATATCCCGCTGTAAAGCTGCTTTTTCGGCAGTATCCCACACTCTCAGCTGGTGGCTGGAACCATTAACCAGCACTAACTGCCTTTCTGTTATTGAATGCATTTTACTTATAGCTCGCTTTAAATTGTGCTTGTGAGATTGTATCTTCACATGTTGTTATCACTGAAGACATCAGTAATTGCTTAAACCACCTTCAAGACTTTCTTTTAGATATATTCATGACAACAGCGTCACAATACTTTCAACATAATTCCACAATGCATCATTACCGTGTACTTCTTTTTATTGAAGAATAAAACCAATTACTATAAGACATTGTAAGTGTTTCAGTATTTTTAACTATTTCAATATTATACTACATGTAAACAGAAATTCATAAACAGTATAGTTTCAAATTAAATAGAATAGAAGAAAAATCACGCACAGTCACAAACATACACATAATACGCAAACCACAGACAAGCCCATTGCATATTAAGTCAAATTAGGGATAATGTAACGATCTGAGTAATAATTTAAGTCGCTTGGTATATGTAGAGTATCTCACCCGAGTGTATTTTGATATCAAATATATCACCACGAGTTGATAAAGTAACAAATGTCCGAGGCTTGACGATATGTTTACTTTGATCAGCGAGTGTTGATATATTTGATATCAGAAGACACGAGGGTGAGATTATATTTATCATCAAAATCACTCTTCATTAGCTTTCAATGAAAATGTTCATCTCTGAACACAGTACTGCCATTGAACTCGCAGTGCAGCGATGTCATAGCAATGTGACGTCATCAAGTTCATGACGCCATAGCATTGTCAGGGCATTGTGCAAAATTTACTCAAACGATATGTCCTAGGAGATTTCAGTCTGATCTCACACAAGCAATATCTCCTGTGGACACAGTTTTGGATGATAAAATGCATTTATCAGTCATTGTTTTATAACATTTTCGCCTCATTTTACAGTGAATAATAATGAGTAGTATTTCGTTTCGATTAATGATTTGATGACTTCTCAAAATTTAAATGTCATTTCTTGAATTGAGAATTAATATTGATATCCACCTCTTAACACTATTTCATACACTTTAAACTTGTTAAATGTCTTATAGGAAAAGGTTTGCATAACTATGTCGTTTGGTGGAAAAGGTGATTTGTGTGAAATATTGTGTGCAAGTTATATGCGGGAGTTAAATTTGCAAAAAGAGGAAATATATAGCAGAACACTTTACAGTAAATGAGGAGTCAGGAAATAATACAACATAACCTGTTCTTGGAAACATGACATTCCATTTAAAATGAAAGTGACTAAGAAATATATAAAACCAAACTATGACAGTATGATAATTACACTAACCTCACCCATGTCCACAATCATATTATAACTAACACCATGTAATAGCACAAAGCAACGACTGTTGTTTCAGTGTCGTAGCTTTAGTCTGTATCAGTGTCCGTATCCTGCTCTAAGGCGCCAGGAACGGGGAGGCATTCTAGTTTGTCAGCATCTGTCAGGAGTTCTTTGTAATAGTTGTGATACTCTCTCGGTATAATACCCGACCGACAGAGTGACATGAGATCTTTTTCTTGGCTGAAGAAATTGCTTGTTTTCCCGAGTACTTTCGGGTCAGAGGTCCACAGATACTCTGAGGTCTTCCCAGTGGCGGCTGCCTGTAGACACTTTCAGTTCTCTGAATGGCTCATTGCTGTGCTCAGTCTTGAAGAAGATGTTTTCTGGGTTGCCTGTAATGTAGCGCATCCAGCACATTGACAACCAGTTCACCACGACCACCATCTGTATCAATTTTGGTGTTTTTCAGTCTACCATGGGCATATTTCTTAAAGTCCATCACATCGGTGAACTGTATTGGGACGACAATATAAGGGTCCTTTCTTCTGGCCATTCTTATAACAGTGTCCCACTGGCTTCAGCACATAGATGCTAGTATTCTTTTTTGGCAAATTCAATGGTGGAATGAATTGCATCGCGACTCCATCTGTGTGTGGCCTGGCTCCTGAAATTTGTGGTCAATTGTACTTATGTGTTCAATAGTGGTCACAACATGTAATAGGGAGGCTGCGACATACTGGTTTCTGTTCTGTCCTGAACAGGTATCTGAATACAGAACTACATGCTTGACGGTTGGTGGCAAAGCCTTCAGCTGAATTTGCAGACAAGATGCAACTTCACATGATCCCCTCTTGGCATCCACTTCCGACCATACAAAGCATGTGCCTCCTTTTGTGACTAAATCGTACACTGTAAAATTGTAATAGTTCAATTTCCTCATGTAGAAAAGTTCACTGACAAGTGAGCATGGGGAATCTGATACAGCCTCCAGATCAAAT